GCCCCTGCTGCCCCCCCCCACCCCCCGGCAAGGCCCTGGCACCACAAGCCTCAGGCCCCCTCTCGGTCGTGAGAGCTCCGAAGATCAGTGGCACAGACCTGCTCCGAGTGTAGCCGCTGCCCCCCTGGGCACAGGGATGGCTGGCTGCTAGCTCTGGGCCTTGGTTTCGCTGCACCGTCCCAGCGGACTTGGGGGCTGCAGGCGCCCACCCTTCCTTCCCTCCAGGCGGGGGCTGGTGGGGCCCCTGCCGCGGCACTGTGTTCCTGCCCAGGATGCACCTGGGTGGCCTCTGGCCCTCATTGTTTGCTCTGGGGCCCGCTGAGCCACATCGGGACACGCTCTGCCAGGACCGAGCACCCAGTGGGCCCCGGGCCAGGGTCTCTGGGACCGGCCAGGACATGGCGAGTGGGAGGGTGGAGGGACCCTACGGCACTCCCGTTTATGCTCAGGCTGAAGGAGGGATCGTCCCTGAGCTCCCCGCAGCCATGGAGCAGTAGGGGAAACTGCCCCTTCCATCTCCACCCCTGGGAAGATGCCTCATCCCGTAACTGCTTCTGGATGTCGGGGCAAACAGCAACCCCACCGTGGAGCTGATCTGGGAACATCAGTGCAGGGTACACAGGCCCCGGGGGCAGTGGAGCCTCGTCCTGGCCCCCAGCAACCCAAGTCAGAGGATGCCTGGCAGGAGGGGCCCCTCCTTGGGGTCAGCATGCTGCAGATATGGGCACAGCTCCGGCAAGCCCCCAGCACTGGTGGCCCACCTGGAGGAGGCCCCAGGAGTCCCAAGTACAGCTGGGTGCTCCCTGCAGAGGCCTCAGTTCTTACCCCTGGCTGTTCCTGCCCAAAGGGTGCCTGTCACCGCCCGCCTCCTCTGGGACCGACTCCCCAGACTGCGGACCCCATACTGGTCTCTCCTCTTTCACACACTGGAAAACGGAGACTTCCTCCAGGGCTGTCCCCGGGACAGAGCTAGTCCTCTGGCGCTGGTGCAGGTCGTGGGGCAGGTCAGGCAACAGGGACAGCAGGCTGTGGCACACCTCAGGCCCCTCCCCCCAGCCTCGACACCCCCACCTGGCCTGTAAACACCAGCTGATCTGCTGAGGCCAGGGCCTGCAGTCGGCACCCCAAATCCAGAACCGCGGGGTTCATTTCTTAGTGGCGCAGTGACCACAGGTCCGAGGGACCCAGTCACATCTGTCCTCTAGCTAAGGGGCAACCAAGAACAGAGCCCAGGCCCACCCGAGGCAGCCTGGGATGGGGCCACAGGTAGCCGCTGTGAGCCACTGGGTCAGGCCCCTTGAGGCTGTGGATGGGGGACACTGGGATCCTCTCTGCTCCCAGAAACCTGTTTTCCTCTGCCCACCCATTGAAGCTGCTGGAACCTTCCCTAAATCAGGGTAGAATCGATCTCCTCCCCAAATGTGCTTTCCTGGGACTGGCAGAGCAATCAAGCGGAGGGCTGGGCCCTGCTGGGGCCATGCAAAGGGCAGGCTCTGGGCAGGTTAGTGAGCTGGCTGTGGAAGGGGCCCTTGACGCGCTCCTGAGGCAGACGTGGAAGGTCTGGGAAGAGTACCCTCCGCCTCGGGGACAGCAGCTGGGCAGGCCTAGGTGCCTGGCAGGTTGGGCATCCCTTCACGGTGTGTGGCAATGGGAGGAACTGGACCCAAACCCCGGCCTAGCTCATCCTCCTGCACCCAGCTCCTGGGCATGGCACCTGCACTTGGGGCTCAGAGCTGGGGCCAATGCACACCCCTGGGTGCCAGCAGGGTCAGCCCCTGGGGCTCGCAGACACTGCACATCTTGACTCGAGCCAGGTGAGCTTGCGGCCTCATGACCTCTGACCCTGGGGATTCTCACTTCCACTCCCCACAGGATCCTTACATGTGACAAGGGCAAGGTGACAAGACAGCGCCGTCGAGTGGGTTCAGAACTGCTGCACCGACCCTAACCCTAACACAGACACACAGAAAACCCTAACCCAGACACACAGAAAAAAGACTGAACTGGTGTCTCTGGGTGGTATACACACATATATCTTCTCTATAATTTTAAACATCTTGAAAATTACCCCCAACAGGATACGCTTTTCCACAAACCCTTACCCCACCCCCCAAACCTGTGGCTGGGCTGTGCTGGGGCTCCTGCTCCCGTGGGGCGTGGCACCTACCACAGAGGGTTCCAGACTGTCTGCCCTGTCCCCAGGCCTGGGCACCTGCCCACAGCTGCACGGGGTGCCAGGGTGTGACCATCCGCGCCTCTGCATTCCAGGCATGGTTTGGGGAGAGGGCTCTGAGTTACTCAATTCACTGGGAGAGCAGAGACGGAGGGGCAGGTCGGAAAAGCCCAAGCCTGTTGTGTTTCAGCAATTTTAATACATTCAAGAATATTCACTAGAACAAATAAAAAAGGATCGTCAGTCAGCAGAAGCCTGTGCTCGAGAGAGACGAAAGCGTAACTGGCCCTTTTGCAGTGAAGCTTGTGCTTGAAGAAGAGGCAAAAACGCTGTCCAAAGGCTTCGCATCAGGAGCTGCTGCAGCGAGAGTCCTTCCAACTGCCACGCCGAACCATGCGGCCACTCACGGCCACGCTCATGAAGCCGACAGCATCGGGGGATCCCGTCGGAGAAGGCGGAAGTCTGTTTCTGGCCTCCCAGGACCCTGTAATGTGGACCCACAAGCAGGCATCCAACCTTCGTGAGGAGCCTCTGGAGAGGCCGGCCTCCCCGGGCCCACCTTCGGCTGTTGCTGTCCCAGGGTACAAAATCTGCCACACGACGCAGTCCGTCAGCAGTGGCCACTCTCCTTCAGAAGGTTCTGGAGACCCCAATGCAGAACGTGCCACCAGGCTGGGCTCACCTGGCAGCAAGGGACAAAGGTGAGAAGAGGAGACCCAGGGACTCTTCTCTTTCACAGGACAGACGCCTCCCCATCCCATGGCAGAATAAATAAACAGAAATAGACCATGAATCACTCTGGACCCAGCCGGTGGGCAGCTTCCTTGAGGGGAATGTGGGACTCAGAAAAGCAGAGTGGAGTGATGCTTAGAGACGGTGAGGTGCACACGGTCCTCAGGCTGACGGCACAGCCGGCCGCGTAGCCACAGCCCGGGATGGGGCAGCACCAGGGCGGCGAGGCCGCAGCTCACCTGACCTCTCTCAGCTGGAAACGTGCCCTTTACCGAAGGCCTCTGCCAGGGCAGTGCCCTGAGCTGGCAGTTAGGACATCTGGGCACGGCTGATGGGCGGCCACCAGCCACCTAGTAACTGCGACCAGCGGCAGGCTGCCCACACCCACGTCCTCCCCAGGCTGCGCAGGCCATCTGACTTCTGTCTACACCGTCGTGCCTGAGCGGGCTCCTCAGTGCAGCGGGGCTGGGCGGCCCCCGGGGAACCCCCTCCTTACGTCCGGTCTGTGGGCTGCACCCCCACTCCCACTGGTAGCTCGTCCTCCTCACTCTTCGCAGGTGCCAAGCAAAGCTGCACCCCGGAAGTCGCAGGTCTCCACACGGCTCAGCCCACAGTGACTGTGGCAGGTGCACGAGATGAGGCTCCCGGCGCCTGAGCAGGGCCGTGGGGTCCCCGCCTGAGTCACATGACAGGCCCCTTCACACGAGGCGCGGGCTCAGCAGCACAGCCGCCTGCAGAGGGTGTGGCGCGTGGCAGCTTCCTGGCAGCCCTGGTGCCCGCCCGGCCACGGAGGGTGCGGCCCCTCACGGAGAGCTAAGGCACTTGTTAGGGTCCTGCCTCAGGGCTGTCGCTCAGCAGGACTTCACATCACACGTGGCCTCCTGCCGTCCTCGCGCTCCCACTCCGGCCGGGTCCGCGCCGTGCGTTATTCCGATGCTTAGGAGAGCGGTTTGACTTTGGTAATAGAATTTTTCCCGGTATTGCTCATAACAAAATGAATATTTTTTAATTAGGAGAAGTCCCTGTGACCAATTCACTTGTCCAGAAACCTAAAGCCAGAACGGGGCTCCACACCCCTGCAGGGAGGAGGGGCCTGTGCTGCTCCTGCCAACAGGAGCCCGAGGCGTGGACTCCGAGGCAGCAGCCGCAGTGGCACCCAAAGGCCAGGCACCCCGAGGGCCAGGCACGTTGCCGTGCCAGCTGGATCCTCTCGGCGCAAGCTGAGGTGGGCGCCAAGGCACTGGCCAGGCCAGCTCTGTGGCCACCCCCTTCTGGAACCTGGGATCAGGTGGGCGGCCAGGGCCCACCTCACTCCAGTGCTGGACGCCGAGCCCTGGCAGGCATCAACTTCGTCCTGGGGCTCCCAGGGATGGAGCCACTGGCCAGTCTCGAAGTGCAGCGGCTGGGGCTCCCCCACCCCCGGGGCGGCCCCCGGCGC